CACTTTCATGGCCAATTCGCATGAACATTGCCATAGAGACTGCTTGTGCATTGGCATACCTGCATGCATCTGATATAATACATCGTGATGTGAAGACTAACAACATACTGCTTGACAGCAGTTTTTGCGTCAAAGTTGCAGATTTTGGGCTTTCAAGACTCTTCCCTACTGATGTCAGTCATATATCAACTGCCCCTCAGGGGACTCCTGGATATGTGGATCCAGAATATCATCAATGTTACCAACTTACTGATAGAAGTGACGTATACAGCTTTGGAGTTGTCCTCATTGAGCTCATATCATCAATGCCTGCCGTGGATATAAGTAGGCATAGGCACGAAATCAACTTAGCCAACTTAGCGATAAGCAGGATCCAACAGTGTGCATTTAACGAGTTAATCGATCCATCTCTTGGATTTGGATCTGATGCTGAAGTTACGAGGATGACTACTTCAGTGGCGGAGTTAGCTTTCCGATGTTTGCAACTTGAAAAGGATCTGAGGCCTTCTATGGACGAAGTATTAGCATTTCTGAAGGAGATAAGGGGTGACGAGGAGTTAGAAATCAAGAATAAAATGGAGACTAATGATATTCACAGTGATCCAAGAGGTGTAAAGATCCCACCTTCACCTGAAACAGATGATGTTGTATTGTTGAAGGGCAAGAATTTACAATGCTCGCCAAATGCTGTGACTGATATTTGGAATAGTTACTCTACAACCACTAGTTCCAGAGAGTGAGATTCCTTTTGTTGTTTCTACAAGTAGATGATGGTAAGAATGTTGTTATATTGTTTACCAAATGGGTGGGATTTATTTCATCTTCTATGCTTTCAGCTTCATAGACATAAATATAGAACTGAGACTGAGAATATGCTAGTAAATAAAGTAGCATTTTTTAATATCTGGATGTGTTGTTCTCTGGCTCGAATAATCCAAGGAAATGTTTGCCATGCTCTACTGACAGCATTGTACAAAACAATATACAACATTTTAACGTGTTTTTCTTCGTTCGTCCTATTAGAGGATGTTCTATCAAGTACATCACACATTTGGTGAACTAACATTATTTTTTAGTAAACTGATATGCATTGCCACCAATACAGCAGATACCACCACGTCTGAGATGACGTCATTCTGTCAAAAAGTGAATAACTCCCAGGTTTTACTTGAATACTGGGATTGACAAAGAAACTTTCTAGGGATGTTTTTCCTTGTCGTGGGGTGTTTGGATCTATTACACGACTTTTCACGCTTTCCAAAGAACCAAATTTTATATACGATTGTTAAGGAAGTAAAGTTGATCATATACGGGCTGACACAGTAGAAGAAATATGAATTGAGATAGCTTGTTAGAGCAATTACAAGATGTTTTTTTTATTTTAGATTGTCTACACAAAAATAAGCTCCAAGAGACTCAAATAAGATATTCTTAATTCTGATTATTTGTTTATGCCTTGTGATTTGTGTTCTTTGCAGTTTGCACTCCGTCTATTACTTACAAACTTGACAGTATTAAGAAAAATTAAAATTAAAATATTGTTGAGTCACGAGTGTCTAATTTGTCAAGCAATTTTTATACGTAGTCTATATGGATGCGTGCTTAACTTTTTCTAGTTCAATGTATCTTGTTAAGCCGATCTTAATTCTCAACACCATTCCTAAGGTATTTTCATTAGAATCATGCTACATGCTTTACGCTTTGTCAAATGACA